GCCCGCGGGCCCCTGCGGGTCCCCGCGGCTCCCCTGCGGTGTCCCTGTGTGGGCGGGGGCTGCTCTCGGCGACGTGGGGTGTTCCGATCCGAGCATCGGTCACTTCCCATCCCCCCGCCTTTGGCCGGTCCCTCCGGATGTGGTCCCGGTAGCTGCCAGCCTGGCCGGGCCTCCAGCGGGGACCGTGACACCCGCCCGGAGCCCAGCGGCGCTCTGAAGCTATCGCTGCAGTTACCGGCAAGGTCCGGAGGCACCAGCAGCACTCCCGGCTCAACGGGACCTGTCTTGCAGTCGCTTGTCCTGCCCCTCTTTAGTGGCAGCAGGTCCCCAGGAACCGCTCACCAGGGCCACGGTCCTGTGAGGGCATCAAGGCAATTGCCGTGCACAGGGTGGGGATGGAGATGGAGAGTCGTGTCTCACTTACTGGGGACCGTCGTGGCTGTCCTTCCCTTCCAGCGCCGTGGGAACATTTATCTGGAGTGGGAAACACTGAAACCAGACAGGGGGGCAGCTGGCAGAGTGTGTCACACCCAGACCTGGCCAGCACCTTCCTTTGGGGCTGGACAGAGCCAGGCTTGGAAACATCCTGGCAGAGGAGATAACAGAGAGGAGCTGGGTTCCCTTGGTCAAGATTGTGGGGTGACCTGGGGCTGGAGGGCATATGGACAAATCCAGAAGGACACATGGAAATGGACCCATTGCCCCCCAACACTCCACCCACATCCCTCTGTTCCCAAAGCACTCCATGTCTTGCCCAGAGAAGTGGGTTGAGCAATGGTCTCCCTCGATCTCTGCTCCTGGCTCTTAGTGGGCTGGATTTTCTTGTCTGTCCTTATATGCTGAGTTGCCACCTTGTTTGCAGCCTGAACAGGCTCCACTGCCACTAGCCAGCTCACAGGGACCCACCACATGTCGTCCCATCCTGGGGTCCCTGTGAGGGCACTCACAGGTCCTTCAAGCTGGACGATTCCCTGCAGTTCCCAGGAGTGTGTCAGAAAGGCTCTTGTCCTGTGTGTGTGCCTACCTGGTGCCCACCCTGCACAGAGTGGGCGCCCTTGCACCTGTGGGGTGCCCAATGCCCTGCTCCTGTCAAAGCTGTTGGTGGGCTCAGTTTCCCAGCTGGTGCCAATGGGGTGGGAGGGGAGAGCTGTGGGTAAGAAACTCTTAATTGCAGTGGTGGGAGCACCCCTAGCATCTGGACACAGAGCAGGCAGAACCCATGTGGCCACCAGCCTGGGGAAGAACCAGGCTCATCCTGGCAGAGCTGGGCTTCAGTGGGGCCCACCATGCCAGTGTCCCATGTGGAGCTTGTGCCTTTGGGACAGGTCATTTCTGTCTGGGGTGCTCAGCTGTCATGTCACGGTGGAGCAGCATGTGTTGTGGGTAGCACATCTGGATGGGCTGGGGACACCTCAGCGAGCCTAACTGGTGAGGACAGAACTTCACTGGGACATTCCCTTCCTTTCCCTGTAAAACAAGCTGGGAAAACACAGCCCATGGGAATGTGGCATCCAGCAGAAAGATGCTAACAGGTAATCGGAGTCTTTCCCAGCTTGGGCTTTGCCTGGTGCCCCTGTGCCCCCCCTCTGCCCTGATTCCCAGGCTGTCAGGGTGCAGGGAAGGTGTGATGCAGTGTGACAGGCAGGGATGCTGCAGAGTGTGTGCCACCTCGATGGAGCTGCCAGGCTGGTGACAGCCCCGGCGCCGAGTGCCGGCTCGTGTGCAGCCGGGCGGGTAATCCGCTTACGGGAGCACCGGCACTGCCCCGGGCCCCCACTGCGGAAATCCCCACTCCTGCGGGAGTGTGGGGTGGGACGGTTGGAAAGCGGTGGGTGTTGTTGGAGAACTGTGCTGGGACCAGGCAGGGGGGCTTGGGGGGTAAGGGGCACCACTGGCCCAAGGATGAGGGGGTGCTGCAGCCAGTGGGGAAGGAGTTGCAAAGCCATGGGGTCGTGCAGAGTCAGCCAAGGGTGGTGGCACTACTTCCCTGGGATGGAACTGAGAAGGGGCAGCTGAAGCTGGCTGGGCATAGTGGGGTCTCTGAAGCTTTGGCTGGCTTCAAAGCTGGATGGAGAGAGATCTGGCACTGGGGTGAGGAGTAGGGTTGGGATCCAGGGAAGTTGGGGACCAGCACAGAGACATCCAGGCCATGTCACGTCCACAGGCTTGAGGTTCACTGCACCTGTCCCTGCACCAGCTGATGCTTCAGGGCTTTTTAGTGCTTCCTCGGCAAGTGCAGATCTTCTGCAGCCACACAACCCCAGCTCTGTGCCCAGGCTGCTCTGATGCATCTTGACATGCATCAAGGTGAATCACTGTCCTCGGTGAACCCCCATTGTGACAGTTTGGGTAGCCTTGCTGCCACTCACAGGCTTTTTCTGCAATGCCATCAACCCTTTGCCTCCCCAAGGAAGCTGGGGAAGCCAAGGCAGGACCTAGAATCATAGAATCTTAGAATGATTAGAGTTGGAAGGGACCTTAAAGATCATTAGTTCCAACTACCCTGCATGGGCAGGGACACTTCCCACTAGATCAGGCTGCTCAGAACCCCATCCAACCTGTCCTTGAACACTTCCAGGGATGGAGCTTCCACAGCTTCACTGGTCAGCCTGTTCCAGTGTCTCACTACCCTCACACTAAAGAGTTTCCTCCTGATCTCTAACCTAAATCTCTCTTATTTCAGTTTAAAACCATTACCCCTTGTCCTCTCACTACAAATTCTTGAAGCAAGGCCCTCCCCAGCTTTCCTAGTGTCCCTTCAGGTACTGGAAGGCCTCTGTGAGAGCTCTGACCTCTGGAGCTTCTGCCAGAGATCTTAAGGTGGGAATCATCCCTGCTTCTTCCAGCCCAGAATTGGGTCCTTTCCAGCCAGAGCAGCAGCTTGGAGCTGTGTGGGGAAGCTTTAACTTTCAGGTGCAAAAATGTTGAGTTTTCTAACAGTTGTTCATGAAAAATTGGTTTTCTCCCCTCTAAAGGGGCTGAAGGGACCTTCTGGGGTAACTCCAACTCCAAGGTGGGAAGTGGAAGAGGACATAGTGTGCACCAGGATGGAGGAGGTTTCTGTCCTGGGATGGAGAAGGTTTTTATCCTAGGATGGATGTGTTTCCAAGGGCTGAATGTCCTACTGGGCTGTAGCTAAGCTCATCCCAGGGGGACTGGTGGTGATGATGATGACAGTGGTGGTGGTGGTCACGCAGCCCCCCCAGGACCTGCCTTGCCACTTGCTTGGCCAACAGTGTTTGCTGGTCTCTGACATCTCGACAACCGTGCAGGAGCTGAGCTCTGCTCTGGCCCAGGGCTCTCTCTCCCCTCCTGTCCACGCCCCCCCGCCACCCCCCTGGTCCTGTCCCCCAGCTGCTGGATGCTGTGGGTGCCTGCCCAGGGTGGGGTTATGCTAATACTGCTCTCCAGCTCCCCACCCGCAGCACAGCCGGTGCCACTCCGCATCCACTCCGGCCACCGTGACACTGTTTCTGCCATGGCCACCTGCCCTGAGCTGCCGCCTGGACAAGAGGTACAGGGGCACAGTCCCCCCCCCCGGCAGGGCCGGGGAGGGGACAGCTGGGAATGGGGGACCTCGGGTGTGCCACAGCTGATGCTCCATTTCTGGGCCAGCCTTGCTGGGGGACGCACTCACTGCAGGATCCCCAAGGACTTGGTGCGACCCACCCCATTCTGCAGCATTGCCGGGGCCATCAGTTTCTGTGGGGTGGAGGACGAGGGTATGAGGGGGGGAGCCCTGAAAGGCCGGAGCCCTGTGGGGTGGGGACGGAAAGCATTTGGCAGTGTCAGTGTCATTTCCCACCCCTGTAGTGCCCTGGCTAGTCTGTGCTGTGGTGGGGGCTGGTGCTGAGCTCCCCCTTCTAGGTCAAGGTCGGTGAGGAGGAGGATGCTGTGGTCACAAAGACCCGCTGAGTACTATCGATCAACTGGGGGAGGGGGAGAAGAGGGATGCTGGTGGCTGTGCGGGCACCCAGAGGCAGGCTGTGAACACGCAGCCCCACAGCGCCACGACCTTATTTCCAGCCCAGTAACTCGGCGCATCGCGCTGTGCCACAGGCGTGGGTGCCCTGCGCTGGGGGAGCAGGGACACAGAAAGGGTGGGGACGTGTCCCCATGGAGGGCTGTCGCCGTGAAGCCCTGATCTGGGGAGTGACTGACCCCCAGATGTGAGCCTGCAGGGTTGGGGGCTCCCCAAGGTCCTGTGGTCTCACTGCCCATGGGGCTGGGGGCTCCTGGCAGTTGTGGTGGCATGGGATCAGGGACGCCAGGGTTGGTCCCATGGAGCTGCTGCCGGACATATCCTTGGGAACACATCTCCTGCCAGTGCTTGTAAACAGGATGTGGAGCCGTCCCAGTTCCAGCATCCCCATGCCAGCCCTGCCACCCCATGGAGTCACTGGTGTGGGAGCTGCTGCTCCCAAAGCTGCTGTCTGCACCAGTCCCGGGACAGGCAGAGCCAAAGCAAGGGAGCATTGCGGGTCCAGTGTGGGCATGGAGACAGCCTGAGCATGGGGTCTGTAGCCCTTCTGCACAAGGGATGTCCTTTTGCCCCCAAGCCCTTTGCACACAGGTTGGTTGGGAGCCCCTTCTGCTGTCACCCACACCGAGACCTGGCAAGCAGGCAGGCAGTGGGGCTCAGGCAGACCCCTGCCACCATATGCCAACCCCCTGGCTCTGGGTCCCCTGCCAGCTCCTCTGCCACTGCATTTCATCTCTTGGTGTCTTTCTGTCCTCCTTGGTGTGCCCTCCCCATCCTTCTGGCAGGCCATGGGGTTTGTGGGGGCTCTGGCTACTCCAGAAAACTCAGAGGAGCAGCAGGGGGCCCAGGAGGAATGTCCTTGTCCCCTGGAGTGCCAGGAGCCAGCTGCCATCCCACTGCCACAAGCTGTAAGCGCCCTGAGTGCATGGGACCATTACTATCCCCACTGTAATCCCCATGGTGTCCCCATTGCTGTCTCCAGGGTAGTGGCTCTTCCCCTGGGGTGGCTGTGTATAGTCCCTCCCCTGCCCCCCATCCTAGAGGTGCATGTGTCTGGCTGCTGTGGCCTGGGAACTCATGAGATCAAGGCAGGTGATGCCACCTGAGGTGGGCACTGCCACCATTGGTGTCACTTCCTGTCTTGGTCCCTAGATAAAGCATTTCCTGAAGGACGACTCGGAGGAAGCTGAGCTGACCCAGTTCCTGAGGGATTGCCCATCAGCTAACAGCTCCAGGAAGGTGGAGCCACCAGAGAACAGGCAGGAGCCTGGCCACCCACCCTGCGGCTTGGGCCGGGTCCCCCCTGACGAACCCACCGATGAGAGGGATGCCAGGATCTTCTCCCGGTCTCGACCCTCGGATTTGCAGCAGCACATCGCTGCCCCTCCACCCCCCAGCCCCAACCGTCCGCGGAGCCCCTGGGGGCAGCTGGACCCCTATGACTCCTCCGAGGTGCAGGATGTGTCCGTGGGGAGGGGGCGTGGGGTGAGGGGCTGCAGAAGTCATGGCGGGGGATGTCCCCACCCTCCCAACCCAAGGAGTCCAGGCGGGCTGGGCCATGTCACAGCATTCCCTCCTGTCCATGTGAACAGAGGGAAGGAGGGGGCCTG